ACACGAGCTGCTTAACGAGCCGAACACGAGCTGTTCACGAACAACGAGCCAAATTGACAGCCCTATAACACACAATTATTACTATTTTTAATATTTACACATACCACTCACATCTTTAAATTCACATTAAAAATAGCACTATTATCACTTGTTAAAAGGCAAATACACATTTTAATGCATAGTTTTAAAACACAAAAATGCTATGCATGAAAATATGAAAGCTTAGGAGTGAGATATGTAGAAACATAATAGTTGTGCATGTATAGATTTTTTATCTAATGATAAAAAATTTTCATCAAAAACACTGGATGAACAAGAACAAGAAATACCTTCTCTTGAAGGTCAAGATCATTTGATGATAGTAAATTGACGACTGCCTTCAATAAGAGCTGATCACTAACAACAGCATGTTTTGCAGCCCCTGAAATCTCTTGCTGGTAATCAGCCAAATCTGCTACAAGAAGAACAGCCTTTTTCTGAAGTCTAATGTCAATGCTAACATTGCTCATAATGTCCTACACAAAGGTAGCATTCCTTAAAATCAACACAGCAGATAATCAAGAATTTATGAGAAAAGCTGCAAAATGGTCCCCCGGCAATTTGCAGGGGTGTCGCTTTAGTCCTCGACTTTGAAAAAGTGTCAATTTGGCCCCCCAACTCTTTTTATTGGTGTTGCAAGTGTCCAGTAGTTAAACATAACGGAAATTGATATTTAGAGTGTTAAAAATATATTTTAGTCTTTTGTAATAATAAATTAAACTTACTGAAAAATCAAAAATAAAATATAAATTTAAAAAATACCCCTATTTTTAACGCCCTAAATATCAATGTTCGTTAGTCTTAACCGCACCTACTCAAAGAGTTGAGGGACAGTTTTAACTCTCATTCCAAGTCTGGGACTAAAATGGCCCGCTGTAAATAGTTGGGGCGATTTTGGCACTTTTCTCAAGAATTAATTATTACTTGCCGGTATTATTTACCTGTAACATCAAAGTCCCATTCACTGAAAAGAACAATTCCTGGCCATCCTTATTGTTCCTGATCAAGGTAGAAATAGCAAATAATGCCTTTATAGCTTCTTCCCTAGAGCTGGACTTTACCATTTTCATTAATCTTGTCAGAACTCCTAGAGCAAGGATCTGATGCGTGGTTGGGAAAATGAAATAATAATAGACATATTAGAGATAGATCAAAAAAGAGCACAAGTTCCAAAGACGACATTTAAAAATATTGGCATTTACATACATACCACCCAATTCCTATGTATTCACATATCTAAAACCTAAAATTTACTTTCTACATTTATATCACCCAAATCCTTCATATCACATGATTCACTTCACAAATACCCCCATTTTAACTTTCAAAAAGTTAAATACACCTTTTCAGAGTTAGGTGTTACTATTGGGTAATGTGGAGACCCGATCAACCGAATTTAATTAGCTTCTTAATTAATTATTTCACCTACCGTTCACCTACCACACCCACCTACCCCCCCCCCTCCCGCTCCCCTACCACATTTCACCTACCTCCCACCTACCACTCTCATGGTTTCTATAAATAGTTTCTTTTGTTTTAAAAAAAATGCAAGCCAAGCAAGGCCAAACCAAGTCATCTTGAGAGCTAAGAGAAAGAGAGAAAGAGAGAAAGAGAGAGAAGAAAATAGAGGTTTTATTGTAAACATCGAGGTGCTCGACGGTGTAATTCTCGAAGAAATAAATCCTCTACAGCTCCGTGGACGTAGGCAATTTTGCCGAACCACGTAAATTTGTGTGTCACTCTGGTGTTTTTTCTGCGTGCAATTTTTCTCGTTACATTTTTTGTTTTATTGTTGTCGTTTTTCACAACAACTGGTATCAGAGCTTGAGTTCAAATCTAAGGAAGAACGATGAGCGGAGACAAAGTGATGACATCGGGGATCGAGAAGTTCAATGACACAGATTTTGCTTACTGGAGGATGCAGATAGAGGACTACCTCTATAGAAAGAAACTTCATCTTCCGTTACTGGGAATGCGACCAGAAAAGATGGACGAGTCGACAAAGCGGAATGCAATCTGTTGGATCGACAGGTTCTGGGGGTTATACGATTAACTCTGTTGAGATCGGTTGCCCACAATGTCATCAAGAAGATGATTACTGCAGATCTTATAGCGGCTTTATCAGATATGTATAACGACGAATAATAAAGTGTATTTTATGAAAAAATTATTCAACTTGAAGATGGTGAAATGTGTCTCTGTTGCTCAACACCTGAATGATTTTAATACTATCACAAATCAATTGTCGTCTGTTGAAATTGATTTTGATGATGAGATACGTGCACTGATATTGTTGGCTTCATTGTCAAATAGTTGGGAAGTCATGAGGATGGGAGTTAGCAGTTAACAGTTCTGCAGGTAAATCCAAGCTGAAATATGATGATATTTGTGATTTGATTTTGGCTGAGGAGGTGCGCAGGAAGGATTCTGGCGAGGCCTCGTGTTCAAGTTCTGCGCTGAATGTTGATTCCAGAGGAATGAAGATTAAAATCAAAGTCTGATCAGCAGACAACCTGCTGGAATTGTGGCAAGGCTAGCCACATAAAAAAAACTACAGGAATCCTAAGAAGAAAGAGAATGATGTCGTTAATATTGTAACTGAAGAAATATATGATGCTTTATTGTTGGTTGTTCACAGTTCTGTTGATGACTGAATACTGGATTCAGAGGCTTCCTTCCATACATCTTCCCGCCGGGAGTTAATATGAAATTATGTTGCAGGTAACTTTGGAAAGGTATATCTGGCTGATGGAAAAGCTCTAGATGTGGTGGGGATGGAAGACGTTGATATTGCACTCCCTAACAAGAGCAAATGGACTTTGCAAAAGGTCAGACACGTTCCTAAGTTGAAGAAAAACCTCATCTCTGTTGGGCAGCTCAATGAGGGTGGTCATTCGGTAGTGTTCTCAGATAACACCTGGAAGGTTACCAAAGGAGCATTAGTAATGACTCGGGGTAAGAAAGCTGACACACTATATATGACTACAGGTTTACTCAGCGTGGACACATGAGTCAGAGGTGCATTATGGGGAAACAGAAGAAGGTTTATTTCCTTAAAAGTGACAGATTGTCAAAGGCAGTAAAACCAGACCTTGTACAGAAAAATAGTGGAGAACCACATAGTTATGAAGAAATCTTGCAAGATGAGAATTCGAGCAAATGAGAGCTGACCAAGGTGGAGGAGACAGATTCCCTGCCAGCGAATCAGACTTGAGAGCCGGCAGAACAAGTAGGTGTACCGGATGAAGACTGCGCTTGATGGCAGTAAGAGGTACAAGGCTGGACTTATTGAAAAGGCAGAAGCAGGACATTGCTCATGCAGTGGGAGTTGTAAGCAGATACATGAGTAACCCAGGAAAGAGCTTGCCGGTACAAAGCTACGTTGACGGTGATATGTCAACTGAGTGTGTTACTCGCGAGAAGCTGAAGTTGCGCTCAACTTTAGTTGGTCTTCTGACATGAAGACAAGGGCTTTGAGTTGCAGAGGTAGAGGATATCGTGTTTGAGGAAAAAATCGGTACAGCCAGTAGATGATGCAGCCAATAGGTGATGCATTCAGTGTCCTAATCTCCAAGTGGGAGAATTGTTGGGTAATGTGGAGACCCTTTCCACCGAATTTAATTAGCTTCTTAATTAAGTATCCCACCTACCTCCCACCTACAGCTCTCATGGTTTCTTAAAATAATTTCTTTTGGTTTAAAGGAAATGCAAGCCAAGCAAGGCCAAGCCAAGTCATCTTGAGAGCTAAGAGAAAGAGAGAAAGAGAGAGAGAAGAAGGGAGAGAAGAAAATAGAGATTTTCTTTTAAACGTCGAGGTGCTCGACGGTGTAGTTCCTCGAAGAAATAAATCCTCTACAGCTCCGTGGACATAGGCAATTTTGTCGAACGACGTAAATCTGTGTGTCGCTCTAGTGTTTTTTCTGCGTGCAATTTTTCTCATTCCATTTTTCGCTTTATTGCCGTCGTTTTTCACAACAGTTACATATGTAAATATGTAGGAATTGAGTGGTATGTATGTAAAGCTTCCTAGAAAAAATGCTAACGTTATGAGATTGTTCACACAAAATGTCTCGAATAGAAATTTTCCAATGTAAACAATTAAGAAGTTCCAAGAGCACCTTAAAGCATCAACAATTATACCATGCACAATTGGTGATATTTCAGCCATAAATCACTACCGAAGCACAAAACTAAATAAATGGTGGAAAGCAAATTTATGATGTCCAGAAAATAAATTCGAAGTAAAAGAAATTGCAGCTTAACACTTCAGGAACAAAAATTCAAATGACAACCATGATCATGGTGATGGTTTATGCACAGCTATGAAGAACAATAAGAACAAACCTGAGGTAAAAATAAACACAATAAGAACAGTATGGGAATATTATATCAAATTCTATTATTTGTCTCAATGTTTTAGTTAACAATTGGCACAATTATCCACAATTAACTTGATGGAGTCATATGATAACTTTACATATATTTTTTGAAGACTAGCGTCTCTTTAGGTAATTCAAGCTCCCCAACACCAATTTTCAGCAAAAGGATAACATTACCCTAGCATTTGCTTAATTTTTATAAATTATTTCAGTTTATGATATTTAAGTTTTATGTTTTTTATATCTCTTCTAAAATACATTTGATATCTTCATATTGCCTAAAGTTAGATGTTGTGGTTGTAATTCCACTTTCACTCATATGGTAGAATGATTAAAACAATTAATAAACCGGGAGAATTAATGACGCTAAGAAGTCATAGAGTTCAATTTATCCATTTAGTTCATGTTGTAGAACTTAGAAGTTATTTCAATAATTGTCTAGATTATTTCAGTAATTCCAAGACATTGGAATGGTGTTTATTCTCCTAGTGACTATAAATAAAGAACATATACTGAAATTATGCATTTTTTATCTTGAATTATGAAGACAAATTTCCACTTTCCTAGGATAAAATTAAAGTAGATGACTAGGAAGTAAAAACAGATGGAAAAAAAAGAAACATGAACAATAATTGTGCAAACATAAGTACAGAATAAATTTAATATCTTAAAAAACACTCAACTTGAATGAATGGGGAATGAGGATTCATAATGATGACTAAACTAGTTAAGATTAAGCTAATTGATGATGAAAATGATATCAAGTACGACACATAAAACTCTTCAAGGAGAGGTAAGCTTTTTGTCAAAATATCACTCTTTCTATCAAATTATTTTTCTTAAAATTTCCTTTTTATATCTATCCATTTTTTTTTGTTATTTACATCTTCTTTGATATTTTTCTAATGTTTTCAAAACCATGCATCATGGACCCTGTGGAAACAAATTAGTTTTATCAAATCAATACATAGCCCTTAGGTTAATGTTTACAGTGATATGACAACTCCAAGATATTGCCATCTTATTAAAAAATAGATTCAACAATTTAAAAAGGGTTTATGATAGATCAAGCTATTATATCGAAGTAATCCAAATGAATACAGAGTCTATTAAAAGGGTAAAAGAAAAAGGCTTCATATAATAGGATTTAACAATAATGAAATCATTAAACCAGCCCATGAAGCCTATGCAAATTATGTAAAACATCAGCCTATAAACCCATGTATCCTGACAATCATTCACTAACAAAACTTAAAATTTATGGTTAGATTCAACATTCTGTCTATGCTGTGTAACTCTAGGTTTTGCAATATTGTTGTAGAAAATAAAATAATGGATAAGTTGTACAAGGATGATTTTTTATAATTTAAGATAATTAAAAACTTGGGCATTAGGATTTGAAAATAAATTTAAAATTGCTCCCTTTGGATTGTCCTTCTTGTGGAATAGAGCATTATTATTATTTTTTTAGTGAATTCCTCCTTTTTTTTTCTATTTTTAACAAATTCAAAAATGAAACAGCTAATGACTATTAACTTCAATAATTTATTGATCTTTCTTAACCAAATCTCACTGTCCCTATCCTTAGCCATTACCAAGTGAAGAAATGATTTTGAAAAAATGGTTACTTTTTCCATTCCTGAGTTGGGCATCTATAGAGCCATACAAATAACCCCTAGATTTCTTTTATATCTCCTATTTACAATTACACCCCGAAAATAACATACAAATCTCAACCAAGTTTGCCAAAGATTATGCATGCTCCCAAGTTTTGGCACCAAATTGATTAACTTTATAATATTTTAATTTCCTGTCCTAAAACTCACTCATCTTTAAACACCAGTAAACTAACCATATCTTGTGTGGGCTCAATGTAAGATCCCTTAAGCTTATGTCCAATATCTCCGAATCACAAGAAAACATATATGCACTGAACTATGCCAATGCATGAGTTGGCATCAACCTCAAAACACAACCCCATTCAATGGAAATTATGGCACACATCCGGCAGATGTTGATAGATTTAATTCATTAATAGACTTGGCGTGGCAGAATCACGGGCCCTTGAAGAGGTTCCTTCAATCATTCCGCATCAATTAGTTTTAAATCTAAATATTGAACTTAAGCATAAAAGCTAAGCCTAAACAACCTACTTAATCAAGAGGGATAGTTAATCATAAGAGCTTGCACCCATAAAGAGTCTGGACCTTCATCTACATAAATCTTAGTTTAAAATTAAGAAAAATATGTTCAGATGAACTTAATCTACTTCACAAAGAATAACTTTTAAGTTCTCTCATTTACACGGTGGGAAAAGGGGTCGCTTCTTCTAAATGACAAGCATGCTTCATATGTTTCTTCCCTCCGTTTTAATGAAAAGTTTCATTTTTCATATTCTTCCATGAAAAGGTGGTTAACACCCCTCATCTATATAACCATCATCCATCCTTGTCCTATAAATAGGGGCTACTGCAAGGAAGAAGAGAATCAAGTTTCTAATGCAATACTTGCAAAGGCTATCTCCCTTTCCAGAAGTAAAAGTGTGGTTCTCTATATTATGTTTCATACTCTACTCCACCTTATTTTAGCATTTGGCTAACCCTCTTTCCTAAAATTTACACCACTCCATGAAGAGCCTCCCCACTTCTATTTGTCACTTCTACCTTAACCTTGCACTTACGTATTCACTAGTTAATGGTTGTACAAAAATTCAGCAATTATAACAAAATTAATCCGAGCAAACAGAAGACTTTTATTTAAGGCGATAACAAATAACCCAGCCAACATCAAACAATTAACTAAAAACTTTGCCTGCTCAAAAATGTAAATTAAATTCAGTAGGAATGGATAGAAGTTTACGAGTGGAGAGGGAGAATGGGAAAACGAGTTACCATCTTAAAGATGTAAAATGATGAACAAGGAAGAACTCATGATTACCTGGTTCTGTACAAGTGCATTATTTTGGCATGCTTTTCCAAGAATCCATGCAGAGATTGTTCGTATCTCAGGATCCGAATTATCAAGCTCTCGAACCACAGCAACAAGCCCACCCAACTTGTCAAGATCTGTGAATCATGCAAAAACTTAGAAAGAAAACACAAATTATAAAAGATGAGTAATAACATGATCTCCCAATGCGGTACAGAAATAAGAAGCCAGCTACATTTTTCTTGGGTGATAAAAAATTGTTATAGCTTACAGGTGATCATAGTAACAACTTTACCATTTGCATTATCAATAGGCTCAACAAGAATCAAGAGTTCATTCAATGCCCGTTTTCGATCCTCTAATGATATAGAAGAATTGTTCAGATCATTGATAGCTATTTTCATCAACTCGGCATCTGAAGGGATCTTAAGTTTCTCCATTAGTTCCTGTATTTCCATGACAAGTATAGGAAAAAGTTATGTCAATCATCATTATCATCATGATCATCATTAGCCTTCTCCCAATTATTTGCATTCGATAGAAAGAATGTAAATACATAAAAATAAAGAAAAAATATAGGTTTTTTTTTTTAATAATCACACTAAAAAGTTGCTGTCTAAATATTGAAATCAAATAAAAATTTCATAAATATTTACGATTGAGCCTAGTGTTGCATGTCATAGTTTCAGAGCTTCTTTGAAGCTGTGTACAGCTAAATCATTAGATTTAGAATTTTCTGTTAAACTCCAGAAAACAATTCCTCCGTAAGTGGCCTGGCACAAGTTATGAACAGATACTTTTGAAGCAAAATGCAAAGTTCCATAATAATGGTTACACTTCAATAAAAAAAATTTAAAAAAAAAGTCAGGCAAATAAAGTGGCAATGGCTATGACGAGAAAAGAGGGGATGCACTTTAGGAATTGTGCCCACAATGCCTCTCCCCTTAATGCCTGAAGAGTATTTCATTTAACTTAAGGTAAAGATACACAACTCGCAACAATGTTCACTTTGGGATAATTGGTACCATTAAAGGGATGTTGGGTTGCAATTGTTTAGGATGCAATGTAAATTAAATACACAACATTATAAATCCTTAAAACTCTTTTAGGTTTGATTGTAAAATAAACTAGGAAATCAATCTTTGTGTTGGGTAGGTTGTAAATAGAAATCAATTCCCAGTCATGAATAGGTCGATGTCAAGAAAAGACATAAGCTAGTAATCACAAAGGAGTCACAGCCATAGGAGTGGGTGAAAGTGGGATCAAGGTAATGAGTCTTAGCCACGAGTTACAATAGCGTCATGGGTTGTAGGCAAGGTGTTAGTGGGTCATTGGTGGCCAGGACGAAACTGCAAGGGTTCGGTGGTGACGAGGACTTCGATAGCACACACAGGAGTGCTAAATTCCAAATTCTTTCAATATGGGTGAATTTCAAGTTCTTCAAAAACAGCTTTTGTGCAGTGTTATAAATCCCCTTAGAACTACTTTAACTTTGTTTTACTACAAGCCAAACGCTAGCCAAAACAAAACTTTGTATTTATTTTGCTTTAAACTCCTAGTACATAAGAAAAAAAGCCCCGGGTGCAATTCACTCACGTAACCATATATATATATGGTTACGTGAAAAAGATTGATCGTCGATCAACCCCATAGTCTGACCGAGGGGCGGACCTCCCTTCCAGAAATGTGTGCAATTCAATCCTACGCAGGGATCGAAACCCCGACCCGAGGGACTTACACCATAGGTCACAACCAATGAGCTAAGCTAAGGCGCACACACGCGCGCACGCGCACACACGCGCGCACGCGCACACACACACACATATAAAGGAATATCCAAAGGCTATTATTGGAGCCTCCAGCCACCCTAAATATATATATTAGACTTAAGAATGTAGTTCTACAATCCAAACTTATAATGCAACATTTGAATTGTACATAAATGCTGAATAACATGCACAACTGAAGCACACATTCCAAACACGTTACATCATAAGCATTATATCAATAATGGAAGCTTTCTCCAGTCTTAGCTTGACAAAAAGAAAAATGAAAAAAAATACATTCCAACAAACAAATTTGTTATATTCTTAATAGCTTGTAATGTCCAAATCCAACTTGAATAAGTGAAATATGACACAGTGAGGCCTTTCACTTCAGACTGAACAAAGACATGGAGGACATAGAAAATTCAAAGTCTCCGAGTTAAAAATAAGGAAATTAGAGCTAGATTTAAAAAGCTTAAAAATCATATCAAATGGTTAAAAGTACTGGAACAAAATAGTGAGGGTAATGCACCATCAAATGAAGCCGAAGGAAAAAAAATTATTTTGTTATAGAACATGACCAAACAACTGCATCAATAAAAATGAGATTATATTAAAGAGTATTTTCAAGGTTATGTTGAGCATTTTATTTCTTTTTATAGGCAAATGTAGGCTCAAGAATCAGTTAAGGAACTAACTTCATGTAAATTAACCTGTGAAATCCCACCCATTACTTAAAAACACTCCTGAAGTCCTGTTAAATAAAAATATAAAGAGGACTTTAAAAAAATTTATATTGAATTTCCACCACACTTACAGATAAAGTATACTAGGTTTCAAAATAAATCTAGGAATTTGCATTACAAGAATAGGAGAACAATGGTCACCTTTAATTCTAATTGGCGTTTGTTCAGCTCAGCTGGAGATAACCTCTGAGCATCACTTGCTTTATCCTTCAACTTCTCAGGATCAGAATGGCCTGAATTATTTCAAATATTTAGTGCTAAGAAATAAATAAATAGACTGATTTACTTCCACAGAACATTCAATAATGTCCACTTGAGTCGCCATGGAGATATGAATATAACCAAAGGTTTAGAGACATTGCAAAAGTGGCAGAGCAATAAAATACGAGACAGAATCTTTCAAAACAAAGTGCACGTTGATTGTATATCATAGAGCTTCTTAGATTTACCATCATTGTTTTCTTGGACCATTTTGAGCGACCCTTTTGTTTAAAGTAAATGCATCAATAAATGTAACAAAAATGCCAACGTATGAGGCAAATTTGTTAAAGATAATGCCAGAGAATAGTTAGATATGCTTCTAGTTCAAAAAACTGTCAACAAAACATCCAATTCTCAAGCTTCATCTAGCTGAGGATGAAACTCCGATATTTTCAAGCTCAATTTAATGTCCATAAAGTGATGCACATTCATTGGGGTGTAAACGAATTGAACACGAACGAACAGAGCTTGTGTTCGTGTTTGGTTTGTTTGAAATTAAGTGTGTTTGAAATAGACTCATGTTCGAAATTGTTCGTGAAGTTATTGTTCGTGTTCAGCTCAATTTATTTGAAATTAATTTGAAATGTTTGAAATATTTGAAATATTTGAATTGTTTGAATTGTTTGAATTATTCGAATTGTATGAATTGCTTGATTTATTCGAATTATTTGAAATTTATTTGCATTGTTTAAATTGTTTGAATTGTTAAAACGATAATAAATTTAATTATTAATTCTCAAATTACCAAAAATAAATAAATAACATCCCTCTACTAAAAAAATATTATTTCTTCAACTATATTATTATAAATAGTTAAAAACAAGTAACAAATGAAATATATATTTAAAGTTTCAAACTCAAATTCTTAAAAAACTATAAATCATTATTATAATTTATAGGATTTAATTTTTTAAGACATGATAAATTTTTAAGAGTATATAATTATTTTTAAAATATAATAATTTTTTTATAATTATTTTAAATTATTTTTTATTTATAACATAAACGATTCGAACACATGAGTGTTCGTGTCTGATTTGTTTATAAACCGAGCAAAAAAGATTACTTGTGTTTGTATCGTTTGCTTATCGAACGAATTGAGCACGAACTCCCTGACGAGCAGAACACAAACTGTCCGTGAACAACGAGCTTTTTGGACAACCCTACACATTCATCTGCTACAAAAATATTTGCCTCAAGATGTGCAGAAAACTTACAATCAAGACATGGAAGCTTATAATTTGCTGCTTCATTTTAAGGAATTCAAAGAAGAGGAATTCTCAAAATCAAGGGCTGAAGAATATCTAAGTTTCCCTGATTACATTCGAAGTATTTCTCTTACTCATACTGATTGTATAAAAAAATTAAAATCATAAAAAATAATAATTGTGTGGCATAACATAATCTATTGTTTTACTTTTTTTTCTTTGGTTCCCAAAAAACATGTTTTTTCTTTTAGTTTATAAAATTTTAATCTGCTAAATTTATTGAGAAGGTTTTTTAGGTAAATTCAATGCTCTATATGTTAACGTAGCAATGACAATTGCCAATCCATTATTACTTAGTATATCACTCTATATAAGCAAAAATATTCTAAGTTCTGACTCCTTGACAGAATTATTCATACTTTATTAAATTTTAAAATTAATAATTTGAGTCTCCTAAACTCACGAAACTTCAGCTGTAATCAACTCTGGAACACCATCTAAGTGAACAAAATGTAAGCTTTTTAATTCTTTCAATTAAAAAGAATTAATTGATAAATGTCACATTGCCTTTGCCTGTTTACGTTTCATTATATCCTAGTTACAGATAATCTTAAAATGAAGACATAAAAGAGATGTCCTGTAGGTATCTTTCTTTTGTCACACCAACAACTGTTTTATAACCTAAGATTCTCCTCTGGCAGGTAGGATTGATGGAACCCCCAACACAAAACGATGAAGCTAAGAACAACACATTATGAACTTAATCTTGAAAACAAAAGCTCTTAAGACCAATTCCTCAAAACATTCAATAGCATTACAAACCACAAAATCTTATCTTTTTCACAAGAGTTTAGCCGCCCACTCCGAATATAAAGCATAAAAGAAAATAACAAAATACATACCTATTGCCCACTGCAACATGCCCTCAAGGGAGGAGAATCCTCCGGCGAATTCGCCGGAGGCATCGCCTTCCACCGCGTAATCGTCCTCCGGTTCTATCGCGGCGAGAAGATCGCTCTTATCCTTAGCGGTGGCCCATAGGATTCCGGCGGGAGAGGACTTGTTAGCCCGATGCTCGACGTCTGAGGCCGATGCCGACACATAAGCCGAGAGGAGGAGGCATAGAGCCAACGTAAGAAGAGATTTACCCATCCAAATTGATGCGCAGTTAAATTGAAGGCCTGTTGAGGTGTATTGGCGATCTGGAGAAGACGGGTCTGGTTTCTGCTAGTTTTCTGCTCTCTCTCTTCTCTCTGGCGAGTGCGAGGCCGGAATTTATGGTATATGTGTAAATTTAAATTCTGAAAAATGGGATTTAGCACGAAGGTGACGTGGCGTGAAGCGATTCGCTGGTTGCGTTGGCGATTTCTCAAATTCCGCGTTTCGGGAAGTTTGGAGGGAATTAATAATAATAGTAATAAAGATTAATTACATAAAAATGAAAAATATGAGTTTAGTTTAGATATTTAGATATTTCAGTGAGAATTAAGAAAATGGATGAAATAGGGTAGTTGATTTGTAAATAATAAGTTTCGGATGGTGAATGTAGTTGCCCCAAATTAAAGATTTATTTACATGTATATCATATAATTCCGGTATATTTATATATATAAGTTTCCAATATTATATTAGAAATAAAGATTATGTGCAGTCCATCACTAGTTTACAAATTTTCTTATCGAAGAATTGCAACGGCTCCGGGGCAGGGGTGTAATTAAAGCCAGCTCGAGCACTACTCATTAACGAGTCCATGAGGAGCTTATTGAGCCAAGAGCTCACGCTCAAACTCAGGCTCAAGCTCATCGAGTCTCGACTCATTAACTTGTGAGCCAACTTGACTCGCTAGATTCCGGTAACATTGATACCTTCCTTTGACTTAACATTTCAAATCCAAATGACAATACATCAATATATTTTTAAGGGTACAAGTGAAGCATAACATCACTCAAAAATATTAATGAAATTTAAATACATGCCTCCAAACTTTTATGTTATCGCATATCTAACACCGAAAGTTTAATATTTACACTTGAACAACCTCGGTGTCACAAACCCATGCACCCATGCAAGAAAACGTGCATTTCACTTTTAAAAAGATAATGATTGTAGCATTTTTGAAGTAATTTTAAAGCTTGAGAGGTACGCATGTAAACATAAATGTTTAGATGTTAGATTTATAAATACGTAAGACTCGTGTGGCATGCATGTAAATGCCCTGAAATATTATCATGAACTATGTTGAAATTTAAACCATGAAGAATCAAACCACAACATTCTATAATAAAATCATGCAGCTGAAAAATAAGTTTAAAATCATCATCACCATCATCATTATCATTATCAACAGCCTTATCTTCAACAATTTGAAATTGGCTTTATGAATCCATTGTTAAAAATAAGTTTTACATAATTAACCAATTGCTGAAAACATCAGAAACTAAAACCAGAAGTACAGATTAAACCGATTGACAACTTATAACTTATTTGGCATGTTCTTAATATAACAAATATTACACATTTGCACATAGATTCATGAAATAAATTGAGAAAAATTCAGCCTCACCTTGGAGGTAATCAGAGCACCCAGAACCAAGACACCAGTGAGCCCACCAACAAGCCAACCACCAGGAACAAAACCATCACAATTCCTGCAGTCTCAGCATGCTGTATGGGCACAGACTTCGGCGCGAGAGTCATAACAACAGCCGTAAAATAGCCATTCGTCAGACCCAAAAGACATGTCAAAATCATCACCGGCGTCTCCGTCCTGATGAACTCAGGTCCATGCAAGCACACGAAGAACAGAGGATAGAACAGAAGCCTCGCAACACAAGCGCCCACCGCCACATTATCGTTCTGTAAAAGATAAACTCCAGAGAAAGCCTTCCCCACGAAATCAAAAATATTGTATCCAGTAATTAAGATTATGGGATACCAATCCTTGAGAACTTCAGAGTGAACATCTTCTGTAATGTATCCAGGGAAGATGGAGAGGGTTACAACATAGATGAGGAAGAGCCCAAATCCATACCATTTGATCCTCATGAAAATGTTCCGCAGAGTTGATCTCCAGGTTGAACCAGTTAGGAATTTGGAGTCTCCTTCTTCTTTCATGGCCTGGATTTTGATGCTCCTGTAATGCTGGATGACGGGAAGTCTGTCAGCTATGTTGAAGCAGATGATGCAGATGATCATTACAGCGATGGTGACGGCGAAGTAGAGGTTGGCACTGTGTCTCAGTCCGGTGGCGTCTTGAGGATAGATGGCTTTGCAAATGATTCTCATTGCAGAAACAAGCACTCCTGTACATGGTTTTAAGTAAAAGCTTGTAACAAGTGCTTGTTACTAAATATGAATCATAAGAACCATAAAAAAAAAGATGAATAATAAGAAAATTAACACAAGATATAAAATGAGAAGATTTACATACATACCACTCAATTCTAATGTATTTACATATCTAAAACCTATACTTCAATTTTCACATACTTAGCACCTTTACCTATGCATGAAAAGGTATATTTCATTTTTTTTAAAAGTTAAAATGACAGTATTTTTGATGTGATATGATTGTTTTGAGCGGTATAAATGTAAAAAACAAAATTTAGGTGCTAGATATGTAAATATATAGGAGGTAGGTTTAAAAAAAATAATTAAAATAAGGATGATCTAACAAAAAACCAGAAAAATATCGATGAAAGTTAAGATGTGACATCAAGGAATTCCAAAATAGACTAAAAGAAAGCATTCATCATATAGTTGCATCTTTTGAGTCACAATCTATTTTGAATCTTTATCATAATCACATTCTTACCCAAACTGTTGGGGTGGACCTTATGAATCCCTCACTTTTGGCTTGCAAATTATTTGGAATGTTATTATCACACCCACTAAAGTCGTATACCATATGCTCAATCTTAATTTGGGTAATTTTAAGTTTTCTATCTTCAAAACATTTTCTTCATTTATTAAAGTAAATGTCTCGTTAATTAGAGCTATCACATTTAATGAAAGCATGTGCAAAGGCATCTTGCTTTGAATATCTCATATAAGCATTTCTGCAATCAATATAAAAAAAAAATGAACTCGATATCAAGCTTCCATGTAATCCTAATGGAATTAAAAACGTTTCCATCACTACACGACTACTTCTAATCACAAGCAGTCATTTATTTTTTATCCATGCTACTACTAAAATGGTGCTTAATACTCCGCTAAAATAAAAAATCCACCCCAAAAGTTTATCTATACTACCAGTTAAATGGCATTTGCTATTCTACAAAATTTATCATATTAAGTTCTAAATCATAAGCATGCGATTTGGAGCAATAATATTTTTATTCATATAATAATAATTTGTTTCAACAATATTCATTGTTACTTTATAATTATTTTTTTAATGTTTTAATTTTATTCATAAATAAATTTGAAGTATATGCAAGTATAAGCTATAAACTATAAGCATGTAATTTTCAACAATTGAAAATATATTAATAAATATGAAGCAAGTACAATGATATTACTTTTCTTGATTTTTTGAATTGCTGGTTTACAATTTCAGTCCAAGATATGTTTGAAATTTTAAGAATATTTAATTTTTTTAAAAAAATGCATGGAAACTATATAGTATATGATTTAATTTTCTATTATTGATACATAAATTTAGATTATATGCGGGATCAATTTGTCCGGTTTTAAGTTCTAAAGAAAAACCACAAAGTTTATAATCTTAATAATTTTATTGATAAATTAAAAAAATGAAGTAATTTAAAATATTGTGTATTTTAATGAGTTTATTTGATTTTTTGAACGTGAGCTTTAAATTGTAATTATAGTTCCACAACGTTGTATGTTTAAAACTTTAAATTTAGAATGTAATTTTGACTTTTTTTTTTGTCAACTACCTTCCTGCTATACAATAAATAGAGTATTAAAACACATTATTTTACCTTTTCCTAGTTTCATCAAGATATTAAAATGAATTTGAATATTTCCATTACTTGGTACCTTAATCCAAAGAAAAACTTTTAAGACAAGCATCCATTCATGTATATTGAGTGCATTCAAGCCAAATCAACTCATATTCAAGGATGCTCTAACCTATCAAGTTCAAACATATAAACTTACAAATAGTTAAAATAATGTCAAAATTTATACTATTTTTAATCACCTATTCACCACTGGAAAATGCCACACCAACAAACTGCAATTGTGGGTTGTAAATTTGCACTTCAATGTGACACTTCGACTGCTATCTTAAGTTTTGGATATTTAGAGGTTTTCTTTCTTATACTCCATGAAAATCCTATAATAAATTTAATTAAATCAGCACTATAAAAGAGTGCGAACAAAAAATTGTAAGAACAATATTGTGAATAATTAATAACTAATTTTTGTTCACATAAAAATTCAATATATTTCATAAAACAGTGGAATTTTAAAAAAAGTCTTCAAATTTTTGTAGGTACAGTTAATGTAAATATTAACATATATATCTAAACTAGAAATAGAAATCTCTTTATTACAGTACGAAAATATTAGATGCATGCACTTAGCGCGTGTTGTGCTTTATACTATTTGACTAGAAGTTCTAATTGCAAATAAGAATATGACTTCATCATTAAGCTACACTAATACCAGTGAACGCCTATAAATAGTTTAATAACTTCCAACATACTTTGATCACAACAATTATTTTTTAATGCAAACCAAATCTAATATGATATACTCAATCATAGATCTTCTTAAGACCAATAAAAATCATATAGATATGCTTAATGTAATCTCTATGCTTGAGGGATACAAAGTCAACGCATCTAATGAGGTTTAGTTTCATACTTTCAACCAAAGCAAACATATAGTAAGTAAGGTATTTTTTCAGGTTAAAGGGTGCAATTAAGGTCAACATTTCCATTTAATGTAGAGGCAACGCTAACCAGCATATATCTAAACTTTTTGTGTCAACTTGGGTCAAGTTTTTAAAAGTTCAACTTGAATCTTTCAACATGTATTTTAGATGGGTCAAATTCAACCATAGTCATCTTGGGATCAAACTCAAACACGACTAGCCAACTTAGATTAACACCCATAGCAACCTCAAAACTTCATGAAAAGGGGAAAAAAAAACATTGTTGCACATACACAATATAACCTGAATCAATATCAAAATAAAAGATTCAAAGGAAGTTTAATTTTAGATTCAATTAAAAATATATATGATCAAAGTAGAAGATGCTAAATGTAAAACTCAATACAAGAACAAGAAAAGCGAACATAAATGGTAAATCCATCACAAGATCAAAGCCATAAATGGCAAGGGAAATTGAGAACTGATACAGGAGGCTTGTCCTTGCAATCTAGGCTTGGCAAACTTACTAGGCAATCTACATGGCTGAACCAAAATGACTCGTACAAGAAAAAATTTAAAAAAACTAGAAATTATGACAAAGTAGTTATGTGAACAAATACTAAGCAAGTCAGATGCATAAAGGAGAAATTTACCGCTCCCAAAAAGAATTCAGATCTCAAACTTGATAAAGGGTCAAAATCTCAAAATAGATTCAAAAAGATCACTATATCTATAATAAAAATTGTAATCATACAATCATCTAACTTACACGAATCAGAATTCCTTTCTCAAATAAAAAAAATAACAAAGTACTAATAAAATGCAGACAAATTGCTAGGAAATTTCTAACAAAATTAATGACGTACCAAAGTAAAGTAATACTGGGCTAATATTATGGTTAACCAAGCATCGCAAAAATCAATGCTCAAATTCAAGTCCAAAGTCAAATCAATTTTTGTACTCGGGATCAGATTCATTTTCCAATAGACTAAATAGAGCATACAAAGCAATAAGGAGGTCAAGTGAAGAGCTACAATCAAACAAATAACGACTTCAATAATAGCAACATGAATCCTTTTTCTCCATTGTGTCCTATTGAGTGTCATAATTTGATTCAATTCTAATAAATTAATATCATTTTTTATACAACAAGCACCAATCTTTTTAGGTCTACTTCTATTTAAAAGAAGCATGAATTTAACTTCCACAAAGTAATTCAAGAATCATAAGTTTAAATTCCACAAAATTCTCTATTAATTGATAGGACAAATCATACAAGGAAAGGAGGCATTGCAAAGGAGATATTAAAACAAAAGGATCGTACCATCTAATTATTTATCCATGAGTATGATAAAAATAAACAAGTCATATCAATTATCATGATAAACCAATTTATTTGAAGTCTATTGAGTTCTAACTAGCATCTAGGATTCCAAGCATCAAATTCAATTAAATTCTTTTGAATCATTGCATAATGAATCTTTACCTCTCTCTCTAAGTGGCCAAGCAAAGCCGCCCATGTCTGAGAATACGGAACTATGCTTAGTTTCCCTTTGACTAATACATCCCATCGAACCTCCTGATACGTGTGTTAACCTCATTTTTAGTGAGATCTTAGTCTCCTACTCCCAGAACCGATAATTTAGCTTTAGGAGTTCTTATTGACCATCCTAGCGGACTAGCAATGGAGCCCACCTCCCGTAGAACTTCAAGTCACTTCTTGGCTCATTTTTGTGAAGAACTCGTGTGAGTGGTTCCAAGCACTCAACTTCTAGTTGCAAGGGCTAAGGATCAACATGTAGAGGGCCCGAAAATGAGTTCCTATAGGATCAAACGCCCTCAGGTAAACCATTTGTGACTCGATTACTTGCAAACGCCGCAATTCACGCACTCACTATACCACACGCGGCTACTTTCCATTAAATTGACTCGCCCGCCGGCAAACTCGTCCGGAAGATCCCGGATGACGAAACGGACCGCGCCGACGAGTCCGGAACGTCGACTTTAACTAGGAAGAACACCCATATCGCTATGGTTTCGCGCACGAGTGATTAGCACGACTATCGATGCACATTTTTTTTAATTAGCAGGGTGCTAGTCCAGACCCAACCCAGGTTCAACTCGGGTTCAATTTGGGCTGGACTCGGGCTGAACAAGGGTTAAATAATTTTGAATTTCAAACTTTCAAATTTCAAATAGGCATTTAATTCTATCTTTAATTGAAAGGTAAAGACTTTCCTTTTGAATTTGTTTCATCAACGAAAACTAATTAAATCCCGCCAATGTTTTAGCCTAACGGCTTCTTCGATTGAATTCGGCCCCGCTCCTGTTCTAAAAGGGGAATGCTTGCCTTCTTCCTCTAACATTCGTCCCCCCCTCTTCATCCCCCACTCGTCCATTATTCTCGTGCGTTAGTCTCGGCTCCCAACCCCCTCTCTCCCTCGCCACTGAAATCCT